CCTCTGTTCCATGAATGGGGGCTGGGCTGAAGAGCCCCCACCTCTTGACTACACTCACCCAGACTTAACCTCAACTACAGGTACTGGAGCAACATGAGAAATGCTAACACCCTGCTTGCCCCAGGAGGAAAGTCCTTCTACTTTGCCAGGCAGCTGCATCTGGGGAGGTCTCTTCCAGCACACCAGGTGAAACCTCAACCTGGACAGAGGAGGGTTCTTGACTGGAGATGAGAATGAATTCTCAAGGAGGTCAGACAAGTGCAGGTGAGGAAGGAATTCGTAAAGCGAGAGTAGCAGGGAATGGCAGCTCCTTGCAGGCAGCAGAGAGTGAGGAAGCTGAAGTAGGACAGGAGTGAAGACTTGTGCTAAAGTCTAGAAACAAGAATATCAATGAAGTAACAAAGTCACTTATCCCTGGAAGAGCACAGAGACAAAACACAGTTAAGTTGAATAGTGAGAAGGCTGTATTTTAAAAGTACACATTTGAATAAAGGGGAGTGCATGCAACCTCTGAGAGGAGGACCACGTAAGGGCTTAGGATTCCATCTTTTAAGACTTTCCAGAATGGGACACAGGGCGGGGATGGGGGTGTTGGCTGTAGGTTTGACTTGTGGTCTTATGATGTCTCTCTCCAGTGAGAGACATTATGTCACTATCCACAGTCAGTCCTCTAGATAATTCTGTAAGATAAGCTTATCTATCACAAGGAATTTATTGATCTGATTCTTTTCCAAGATAGTGGTTTCCCTCAAGCCCTGGGAACATATCAGTTAAGACTGCTTGCTTTGCCTTAAGATAGGGTGGGTTAATGTCTGATTACTAAAGAATATGTTAGGAATCTTACCTCCTAACTCCCTGGTTTTAAAATGAAGTCTTTGCCTTGAGATGGAGTCCCTCCTGTTCTTAGTATACTGTTTATATCTTGGAATTTTCATCATAGGCAGGAAAGGTTAATCATGATGCTTGTCCCATGTCTCTGCCCTGCATCACTACCAGGAGCTAGGGGAAGAGGGTCCCTGTGTTCTTAGTCTGGGTGGAGAGGAGCCCTGTGTTTTTGGTCTGGGAGTAGGGAGCTCTGTATTCTTGGTCAGGGAGGAGAGGGACTCTACATTCTTGGTCTAGGGAAGGCAGCTCTGTTTTCTTAGTCTGGGTGAGGAGGCAGCTCTGCCCTTTTGGTTTGCGGGGAGGCAGATCTGTGTTCTTGGTTGGGGGGGTTGCTGTGTTCTTGGCTGCAAGAATCTGGAGTGGAGTCTCCACCTCACTGACCTGGGAGGAGGGTCAAGGGAGGGAGCGATCTTGGTTCAAATACCACAGACTCCCACCTTTCTTACCAAATGTTCATAAATATCCTTGAACAGATGTTTCTTCATTTTCTGTCCACCTTTTGGATCCTTTCCAGAAGCTTTGAATATTTTGGGGGTATTTTTTTTTACTGGTTTTCACCAAGTTCATGGGGGAGTAGGTCAACAGACCTCTTCATGCTGTCCATGCCTATGTCAATCTCAGAAGGCAGAAGTTTTATTCTTTTTTTTCCCTTGTCACTATTATGTGCACAAAACCATGTAGAGCTGGGCACATAAGAGAGACTCCAGAAACAGTTCTTGAATGAATAAGCAGCAGAAAACTTGATTGTTTCTCTCTACACTCTTCTTAAACTTTCCCTGACAAATACTTCCCTCCCTCCCCCAGGATGAAAACTCAGGGAGGTCTCTCAGGTGTCTCCTTCAATATCTGAAATTAAAAAGTTCCCCACTCCGCCTCTTTGGAGTGTTCCAGGGTCTAGCTCAGTCTAATACATTGAACCCGAACTGTCACTGACATTGCTGTTCCCCCCTCCCTCCTCAAGCCTGACCTGCAGGGGAGGTCAGGGTCAATTTCTTCTCTCTGCCCTCACCTCCGTGTGTCAAGGTACCATTTCTGGCTCTCCCCCACTGCCATAGTATCAGCCCCGAGGGAGGGGAGATTTGTTTCCTGTGGCTGCAGTAACAGGTCACCACGGCTTTAGCACCTTCAACAGCACAAGATTATTCTCTACAATTCTGGAGGCCAGCAGGCCCAAACCAGTCCCCCTGGGCTGAAGTCAAGGCATCAGCGGGGCTGGCTCCTCCCGGAGCCCCCAGGGGAGGGGGAGGGCCCGTGCCCGTCCCCGTCCCCCGCCTCTTTCCTCTCGCCGAGCGGCGGGCTTGCCTCCCGTGCCTCGCGGCACCTCCCTCCGTCCTCGGAGCCGTGCCGCCGCGCACGGCGTCACGTGACCTGCTCTAGGACCAGGTCTCCCTCTGCCTCCCTCTCGTGGGCACACTGGGGATTGCGGCTAGGGGCCACCTCGAGAGTCCGCATCCCCTCCCCAGCTCCGGGGCCTGGACTCAAGTCACAGCTGCAGAGTCCTTGTCACACAGGGACTGATCGCAGGCTCAGGGATTAGCGCCCGGATGTCTTTGATCAGTATTCAGTCCTCCACAGGAGGTCTCGGTCTAAAGTCTGGGACGGTCTTACATGGCTGATTCTGCTGTGCCTGGGCCAGTGCTAATGTTTCCTCCTGTGGGCAGCTTTTGAGAGAACCTCCCTTGGGGACCCCAGCTGCAGCTCCACCATGGAGCTTGGCGTTCTCCCAGCTGCCAGCTCTGATACCCTGTCATTCTGGTTCTCAGCATCCACAAACCATTGGGGTGCCTGAGCCCAAGGGGTCCTCTCAGTTAAGTCCCACTTGCAGGGTCCTGTTTGGTGTCTGGGAACTGGGCACACTTGCCCTCAGGGAAAGATTTGATGCTCACTCCCTTCATGGCTCTATTGACCCCCTGTGTGACAGCCCAGGCTCCTGGCTGAGGCCATGTGGCACAGGGGTTATGACATGGGTGCAGGCTCAGATCTGTTA